AGAAGGATGAAATATGAAATGCTGTGCAAACATTAAGTCTGTTGTCACAGACAATCACATAGGGAATGATTTTGTCATAATGTCATTTGAAAAACAAGATGTACTTAACAGAGAGAGAAAAAAACTTATTTTCTCTGGATCACGAAATAATGGGAGATTTTATTTCGCTTTCTGAGAATGCGTTTAAAAGTATTTTAAAGTTTTTACAATATTACCTTCGTAGTCAGATAAAATAAACTTTTTAAAAATTAAGGTTTCCTTCAATATGCATTAAACTTGAAATTAATACTTGATGTTAAAATACATCAGTGATTTATTTTCAGGTTTATTAGTCTCAGTTTTCACCTGCTACTGTGCAGCATTTAAAGTAACAAAACAATGGCTTTGCCAATATATACACATCTTGTTTCTAAAGCAGGTAAATAATTAGTAACTAGTTCCTTATACCTCCCAGAGCACTTGGTAAAGTTGCACATAACAGATGTCCAATAATTATTAATTTAAATTAATCTCCCCACTCTACTCACCAGAGCAACCAGACCTAGTCAAAGTCAAAGTGGCCTGCCTCCTATTTTTTTAAACTATAGGCACTTAAAAACACACCAGAAAAAACTGAAAATCAAGTTGAAGCAAGAATTGAAAAGAAGCTGAGGACTGGCTGACTGCTAAGTTTTTGGCTAATATTCTTCTTCAGTTTCTTGTTTTAAATAACATACTCTTATACAGTATTGCATTTATGTTTCTTATTAATAAAAGTCCAATTATGCTGGTGGGGGCGGCTTCCCTTCTCTTCAGATATCTCAGTCTAACCCAGTCTCTTTGCCGTGGGCTAGTCTGAAGCTTTCTCCTCTCCCTCGGCACCCCCTAACTTTGTAGGTGACATGCCAGGTCGGCTTCCTTATGGCCTCAAGCTGTTCTCCAGCTTGATGTGCTTTCAGCCATTAACTGGGGAGGCTTAGAGTGTGGACAAATACCTCTAAGGTTGAGGATAACAGTAAAATGCCATGATCCAATGCCTAATGAATAATTGAAGTGGGAAGGGGGGACAGTGGAACAATGAAAGGAAATCAGTGGCTGGAAAGTTCCTTAACAGTACAAGAACTTAAGCCTGTATTTCCCCTTCTTTTGTTTCTCTTTCCCTCACCTGAGAACTCCCTTCTCTCACCCTGTTGATTTCCCATGCTTTTCGGGGTTTAGGCTCAGATACTGAGTGCCTGCCACAATTATACGGGGCAAGCCAATTGCTCTGTTCTTGGCTCTTATTGGGAAGTAACAAACGCTTCTTAGAAGAAGAAGAAAAAAGTCTAGAATATAAAACATACGATTAGGGCCGGGTGCGGTGGCTCATACCTGTAATCCTAGCACTCTGGGAGGCCGAGGCGGGGAGAATCGTTTGAGCTCAGGAGTTCGAGACCAGCCTGAGCAAGAGCAAGACCTCCGTCTCTACTAAAAATAGAAAGAAATTGGCCAAACAACTAAAAATA